CAAGTTGTCAAGGTTGAGAAACACTGATATAAGTGAAACATCTGGATGACAGATTAAATAGATGGAAAACCAAAGCTTTGCATGGACAGCACTTGAGAAACATGGAAGGAAAATGTCATGATAACTTGACATGGACATGGCTTAAGATGGGAACCATCAAGAAAGAAACAGTTTAATCCTAGCTGCTCAAGAACAAGCACTACATACTAAGGCCATGAAAGCGAAGATACAAAAATCCACTGAGACTTTGCAATAACAAAGTCGAAACTGTTTCACATTTAATATGTGAAGGCAGCAAAACCGCACAAACTGGATCGCAAAGCCAGACACGACCAAGTTGCTAAATTAATCCACTGGTCATTATGTCAAAAATACAATTTTTACCCGTATCCAAAAAGTCATGGGAGCACAAAGTGGAAAAAGTTACCGAAAATGAGAAGGTGAAGATCTGGTGGGACTTTCGAATACAAACGGATCGTCATTTGGAGCACAACACGCCAGATATACACGGTTGTGTACAGTTTATTGATATCGCTGTTTCGGGATGTGTCAGAGTCAAAGAACTGGGGAAAAAAATCACAAAATATTGCGACCTGGCCATCGAAACTACACGGCTATCGATGAAACTTGTTAAGAAATAACCAGGTTTTTAGGAGCAAGAACTGAATTCCCACCCAACCCAGTTGTGGGAACGCAGCCGACAAATCCAGAACCGGGAACAGATCCCAGTCACACGCAAGCAGACTCCAAAAACGACTCTCTTTAAAACAGCCAGAGCTTTATTAGTCTGCCCTTAACACAATCCCGTGCGGAGAAGGGGAGATAACAAAAGACCCCTGGATTTCCCCCCTCCCCAGCCACAGGATTGATGCCATAGGCCACACCGAATTTGGGTACAAACACTGATTTTTGCACTGGGCCTTTAAGCAGTGGTCAAAATACAGACTTTAAATTGGTGTTTTAGCTGCTGGAAGATAGGTGGACTTCAATTCCCAGGATTCCCGTAGCCAGCCATGTTGGCTGTGGAATTCTGGGAGTTGGGAGTCCATCCATGCTGACTGGGGAATTCTGGGAGTTGAAGTCCACCCATCTTCCGGCGTCCAAGGTTGAAAAAAACACTTGTTAGATCCTCTCAATCCGCGGTGAATATCCGGGTTGAGATGTCGTCCAGCAGCCAATCGATGCCCGCCAGTAGATTTTCCCCGGTGTAAGCACTGCAACCTCGGATGCACCAATGGTGGGTCTGGATGCTGTCGAGGTCCAGGGCCTGGGGAGGAAGGAAAGGGGAAGATGAAAAGAAAAAATTCCCCCTTCTGTGTATCCTCTGAATGTTGTGGCCTGTTGGTCCCTCCAGCAGCTGAATTGGAGGAGGAGGCGTGGGAGTCAGCGCCAGCATCGAGGCAACCTGAGAGCTCCGAGGGGGAAGAGGGAATGGAGCTGGCAGGGGGTGGGGTGGGACAGAGCTTTGGGCCGTCCGTCAGTCCTCAGATGGAGAGTCAACAGCCCCCAGGTCTGGAGGTGGCTGATGAGGAAGAGGGTCCAGTGCCTGATGAGCAGAAGGCAGAGGAGAGGAGAGCAGTGGAAATCTATGGGCTGGTCCTTGGGANAGAATTCCCCAGCCAGCGAATGCTGGCTGGGGAATTCTGGGAGTTGAAGTCCGGACATCTTCAAGTTGCCAAGGTTGAGAAACACTGCTCTATATTATACTTTACTGCTTCTGCCATAAGTTTTACGTTTACTCTCAAGCCAGGAATATCCTCAATTCCAAATTTGATAGTACTCGGTTTCTTCCCTCTCTTTTCATTTCCATAGACAGTCTATCAATTTCTGCACATTTATAGATTTTTTCCTCCTTATAATTGGACCTGGGGGAGCATCTGTTTGTTTCCAATTCTGTGCTAAAATGATTCCGCTTGCGGTTAATACATGTACTATCATATATTGCAATTTTTTCTCCATTTTCCCATCAAAGATTCCCAGGAGGAATAATTGCGGCTTCAATTCTGTCCTCTTGTTCAGTTATCTCTTCGAGCTACCTTATTATCTTATATTTTCTAAAATTGGGGCAGGTCCACCACATGTTCCCTCTTTTTTTTTTGCTTCTTTAATATGTCTCCCTTAGCAGCAGAAATTTTGGTCTCGATTGCGGTTATAGGTTGAGGACTGCCTTTGTTCTGTAAACCAAAATTCATGTTCATGTTAAGTCGAGCCAGGCGTGTGGCTCCACCAGCCCACCCCCTCATCACAGGACAGCGTAGTTGTGTGAAGGGGTTTCCCTTGCCTTCCCTCGGCAGGATGAGTCCACGTACCTCCTTGGTATCATCCGGCTTGGTCTTTGAAACAAACTGGAAGGGAAAAAACAGATAAACAGGAAGACAAGTCCATCGGCGCCTTGCCAAGTTTTGCCCTCATTGATGGTTGAGGAATGCCAGGAATGGCAGAGTCCAGGGAAGGGAGAGGGCGGTGGCCCAGAGCAGGAGGCCGGCTCAAGGCAAGCTCTCCTGCATGGCAGATGCTCTCTGGGAGCCCCCAACAATTGCAGCCCGGGGGGCAGAGTTCTACTCCCCCTGCCCAATCTCCCCCATTGGCAGCCCCATGGCACCTGCATGACACACACACATTAGTTCAAAGCAAGCTCCCTCCTGCATGTCCAGATGCTCTTTGGGGGATCCAGCAATTGCAGCCTTGGAGACCCCCCCCCCCATCTTTCCCCAAATCCATTCACAGGAAGCCCCATGGCACTGCCTGGCACCTGCATTACATACACATTAGTTCAAAGTAAGGTCCCTCTTACATGTCCAGATGCTCTCTGGGGGGCCCAGCAATTGCAGCCTGGGGGTAAAGATCCCCCCCCCGGCCCAATTTCCCCCAGACCCATCCACCAGCAGCCCCATTTCACCCCCTGGCATTTGCATCACACACACACACACACACACACACACACACACACACACACACACACACACACACACACACACACACACACACATTAGCTCAAAGTAAGGTCCCTTCTGCATGTCCAGATGCTCTCTGGGGGCCCCCAGCAATTGCAGCCTGGGGATAAAGATTCCCTCCCCCCCATCTCCCCCAGACCCATTCACTGGCAGCCCTATGGCACTGCCTGGCACCTGCATTACACACACACACACAAACACACAAGCACGCCTCTGCCAACGGACAGGCTGGGGAGAAAGTGGGGTGGGTGGGTGGGAAAGCAGCCCCCAAACCCTTTTGCAAAAAAAAAAAAATGAACAAAAATGCGGAAGGGAAAACCAGCACCTCCTCCCTCCCCTCTGCCCCGGCTCTCTGCACATGCTCCTGAAACCATTCCCTCCTTTACTTCTCTGGCTGCATTTGCACGGTTAGGGGGCGGGGGGGCAACGCGGGGACCCCCCTAAACACACCCACACCCGCCCTGCCTCGGGAGTTAGGAGGGGGGGCTTCTCCTTGCAACCCGTTCCTCACTTTGGCGGTGACTTTGTACTCGGTGTAGCCCTTGGGGTGGCTGCGGGGGTCGCTGACCGCGTAGGAGCGATGAAACTCCTCCTTCGCCCGGCGGGACATTTTCGGCGACGCGGCCCCTTTAAATCCGAGGCTGCGGCCAAGAGGAGGAAAGTCCGCGCGCCGCCGAAAGGGAAAGGCTCCTGCAGGACGCATGCGCATCCAGCCCTTCCCTTGCCTTCCTTCCCATTAATCCAAGGGAGCGTCTGAAAAGGACCAACCTGGGCGTTCGGCGTTTAGGGACCGTATTGGGGGGAAAAAGCACAGTTCGCTTAGTGACCGTTCAAAGTTACAATCGTCTTGCATGCTTACGACCGCGGCAGCATGGGGGGGGGGTAGATCACGTGATTTGCACTCATTTGCTTGGCCACTGACTCACAGTTACGACGGTCACAGTGCCCCTTTTGCAAAATCAGCGAGGGAAACCGGATGCACTTAATGACTAACTTGAACGACGGCGGGGATTCACTTAACAGATGTGGCGTCGCAAAGCGTGAATCCAACCGTCCAACCAGCTCGATTGCCACAAGAATGCAAGATGGTTTGTTTGTTTGCTCTTTGGGGCTGTGGTTTGACTTACAATGGTTTGCTTAGCAACTGCTCAAAGTTACAACGGCACTGAAAAAATAGTGACTTACAACCATCTTTCACATTTTATGACCGTGGCAGCATCCCACAGAGGTGGGGAATGCTGGGAAGTTGGGACTTGGGGGGTGGATTTCGACTCCCAGAATTCCCCGGATTGTGAATTGAAGGGGCGGGATGCGAATCTTGAAAATAAATTAATAAATGCAGGGAATCCTCGATTTACGGCCGCCCTTGAACCCAAAACGCCGTGGCTAAGCGAGGAAGTTGGTTACGTGAGCTTTGCCCCATGTTATGACACTTTCTGGTCACCGTCGTTAAGTGAAGCACAGTTGTTGGACCAGTTAACACGGTTGTTAAGTGAATCTGGCTTCCCCACTGGCTGCAAAAAGGGGATCGCATAACCAAGGGAGGCGGCGGCCGTCATAAATATGAGGCGGTTGCCAAGCGTCCAAGTTTTGATCATATCACCATGGTGACGAGGCTGCAGCAGTCATAAGTGTGACTGTTTTTTAAGCGGCCGTTTTTCCCAATGCCATTTGAACTTGGAATGGTTACTAAAATGGTCACTAAATGAATTGTTGTAAGTCGAGGACTGTCTGTATGCCAAAGGCCACTGTGGAAGAGGCTGGGTCGCCCCCTGCTGGCTGGGGAATTCTGGGAGTTGAAGTCCATCCATCTTGAAGTTGAGAAACACCGATTTAAAGATAGCCAAACTGGAAAACGCTGACTTATTCCAACTTGCACACAAATCTCTTTTATTAGGGACGAATAACACGGCGTTGCCCTGATATTTATTTATTTATAGGGGGGGAAATGTCTGGACCAAGCATAATTTCTAATGTTGGATTTTTCCCCTTACCAGAAGGAGCCCCCCTTGTGGAGTATTGTGAAGCCGTTGCCATGGCAACTCCACTGCGCTGTATAATAGAAGCCATTTTACAGCAGTACGGTAGAAGCCGTTTTAAGGCATAACAGGCTGTATCTTAACAGAACACAAGGGATGTTAGGGGTGTCTTAACTGCCCACAATATTTTTCTCCAGAGAGTTAAGTCATGTGTCAACCAAGTTTGGTTGAAATTGCCCCAGAGTTATGTAGAGGGGCGTGTGCGTGAATGAAAGAAAAAGATAGAAAATGGGGGAAGAACTTTTGAAATTGAAAATATGTTTTCCTGCTTCTGGGATTGAGTAAGCGGATTTGTTGCCCTCTGCAAAAATAGGATTACGGGTTATTCCAATGTTCTTAAGAACTTGGGGACGGGAACAGTTATGCAACATGGGAGAAGATTATTTTTTACAACCATAAATAAAGGAAATAATGAAACACACATGCTGGGCCTTCCGATTCAAATAAATAAACAGATGCTGGATGGATGATGTGGATGAAATTCTGAAGCTGTTCCCAGCCATTTTTCTGATATAATTACAAAAACAACAACAACAACAATAATAATTCCTAGGTCCTTGGTTACGATTCGAGCTGTTGACCTACCAACCAGCCCCAAAGGCTGTGAATCTCACCAAAGATTAACCAAATCATCAGCCGCAGCTGTAGCGGAGAATGTTATAAAAACAACAGAAACAAAGGCAGAATATAAGTCAGTGTTTCTCAACCTTGGCAACTTGAAGTCCACAGGACTTCAAGTTGTCAAGGTTGAGAAACACTGACTTATATTCTGCCTTTGTTTCTGTTGTTTTTATAACATTCTCCGCTACAGCTGCGGCTGATGATTTGGTTAATCTTTGGTGAGATTCA